GTCGAAAGCAAAAGTTTTGAAAACCTTGTCACCTCACAAAAAAAAAATGGTTGTTGGGCTACAGCAAGGATCACTTCTAGAGTCCTTAATTTTATATCTTTAAAAACTCATTTTATTGTATGGGAGGTGAAACTGTGCGTGAAGTTGAAGTGTGAACATTATACCTATAGGTCAAATGAAAATGATAATCAATAAAGAATCGTATGTTGTGGGTGAATTATCAGAGATAATTGAAAATATAGAAGAAATATCTAATCGAAAGAGTGAAAAGCAAAAGTGACGAAACAGGAGAAGTAATAAGACAATTGTGTGCCATTAGGATTATTTTTGTTTTATACAGAATGTACTACATTTACAAACTTTTTTTCATTGTCATCTACACGAAGGCAATTTATGTCAAATACTAACTCGTGTAACTCAAATTAGACACCTTAGATTTATCTGTTATGTGCCTCTGATGATGGTACCAGTAAATACCGAAACTTATTAGCTTATTTTTCTTAATAAAAACTTCTTGTTCCTATGACCTCGATCTAACTTACCTACCGTCTCCACATAATATTAAATATGTCCACATCGAGGAAAAGATCGGAACTACCAGATTTAATGTACTGTCTAATATGAAATGTATTGTCCTTTAATATTGTGTAGTAAGTAAGTAAAATTTTGAGAAGAGAAAATGTTATGATTAGTGATACTCTAAACACATCACAAGTGATACATTTACCCCACCAAAGAAATTGATAATAATGTGTCGGCAAATTGTTAAAAAATACAGTGTAAGATACGGTCTAAGATGCATCTGGTGTCTGCTGTACTTTAGGAATCATGTAGATTTAATGGAAGAATTTTAAATTTTTAACGTAGTAAGTCAAAAATAGAGCCAGGGTATTTAAAGAATTTCAGCTTATGTTGTATTCTTTATTAGCTAAATTACTTGTCGTAGGATGTCTTTTCTTAGAGAAATAAAATATTGATATCTAAAAATTAGCTTAATTAATTTTTCAACCAATTGTAACTAACTTAGTAAATTAGGCAAATATATGAATTATTAAAATTTTAATGACTCACGTTTAAATACGAATTCATGCGTTTAATGTCTGAATTAACACAGTCACACTTTTATAATTATCTAAGCAAGAACTTCACCCACATGTATCGCACAGCTTATTTATGCATATAATCTTTTTTAATTATGTTTCTTCAATTTAGTGTAGTATGTGAATACTAATAATAAATGAGTTAACAAAATATTGGCCCTCTGTTAGAAAAATATTACTTGATATTGCTTATACGCAGTGGAACTAATATCAGAGATTATCTTCATTCCCTAAAAGGGGATTTTAATAAAGTGTGAATAAAGATTAAAAATTTCGCAGCTCGTTCAGAAATCACGATTCTTCATGGCTGCCATAATTTATGAAAAAATTTGCCTGCAATGAAACTTTAACATTCAGTTATTAATAGGAGGTGAAATGTGCGTGCCGAAAACTCGAAAAAATTCATTTCAGACACATTCCACAGAGTTCATTTTAAACGTCGACAAGGATGATAATGTTACACTTATCAAATCATCACGTGACGTGACGAAAAGCTCTTGTCGTGTCACATTTAGTTAGTTCCGAAAAGAATTTAAAAGTTTCAGGTGATATTGCGTAGGGGAAAAGTCGCTCTTTTTAGCAACAAATAAATCACTAAATTTATGTACAAAACTAAATCCCGACGAGCTCCAATCCGCCCCTGTCCTTTTCACCATCAAAACTGCCTTTCCAAGACGTACACCTGCGTTAATCATCAATAAGGTTTGAAGTTATTCATATTCAGATGCAAAGTTTGGGTTTCAATTGAGAGTCTTTGATTTGAATATCTGAATGCTCAGATAAGCCTTTGAAATAATAGAGTGCGTATGCTCGGTTGCTATAGATCGAAGATAAATGGAGGAAAAAACTTTTCTACGACTATGAACTCAGGACTTGTTTGTGTTTTGAAAATTCACTCGTTGAATAGGACTCGATCTGGCCGGAGTAATTCAATACGGAGGCGGAGAGAGGGTGTTTTTTCCTGTCTTTCTTTTTTATCAATCGCTTTGTGTAAATGAATGCAAATCGAAATAACGGACAAGTTTGGTAATTCCAAGTGGAAATATGGTGATAATTTATTTCCATTCCGAAGGAAATTTGAAATTAATTCCGGACCAAGTTGGAGAGACGGGGATGCCAGCATTGATATTTAATGACTTATTGGATTTTGATTGCTTGAAGACTTCTTGCTGCTTTTTTACGCGGGATTTTATATTCGTGTCTGCCTGGGGGGATGCAAGAAAGATGGTCTTTAGGATTGATATTTTCACGATTAGTGTACCTGGAGTTTAATATTCGTTTAACTTTTTTTGTTCAAATTTTACATATCATATTCTCAGTATGAAATGCAGATTAAGCAATCAATCGTATTACTTATTTTTAATAGAAATTTTGTTATTAATGCGGTGTGTCCTATAACCTTAAAATCTCTCATATTTACCATACATATTTTCATCTTTCTTGTTTCTTTTGAAAAATTTGACATAATTACTTTTAAATAGTGCGAAATTCAGCGGCTACTAACAACTTAACGCTTTTGGGGGCGATTGGGCCTAGGATCTTTTCGACGATGGGTAGAAATGTTCTTCAAATTTTTGCTAATAATTTAAAATTTCGTTCAGTTTGATTAACCCGCAGAATTACTGATTACTTCAAGCCACATTAATTTATCAACACAATAAATTTTAAGTTTTTATGTTTTATTTTTTCGAGAGTCTAAACAAAATCTTTGTTTCATGTTGTATTTGACTAACTGAGGTCTTCCGTTTCTATCTGTTTGTCATCTGTGCGTTGGAGACTTTATTAGGCACTTCTAAAAAATTTCAAATTCTACTTGTATTAAAAAAATTGAAACTCCACAATAACTTCAGCAAACAAACGAATTTTATTTAAACACAAATGTGATTTAAAAATAAAATTTAAGTTTAAAAATTCACTTTTGTACTGAAATAAAGTTTTAGTTAAAAATGTACTGTTCTATGATATGAAATTTATTAATTCGTAATTCTGTAAAATGGGATAGTATTTTGAAGTTACTTTTCAATTATTATTATTAATTCTACTTATATTAAAATTTCAAAAACAACATTCTAATAATTATTGTTCCATTACGTTCTTGCAGATCACTTTTAGTTTTGCAGCTTGTTGTTTTATATAAATAATAGATAATAATTCCTCTATTTTTTCAGAACCACGTTCTCTCAGTAATAATTTTTTTTATTTTTAACTAATTCAGGAGAGCATTAACTTTAAAACTGAATGATTTCAGTTGTGTGCAATAAAAAAAAAGGTGAATAGCTCACAATACGATTTATTGCACAGTATAAAGTTCACGTTCATAAGTGGTAGCAATGTCTAGAAAAAAATATTTGAAAATAATTATAAATTGTTATACACCCCACTGGTAGTGTTTCTTGACCTACCATAACTACTATTCAGCCAGTGACACCGAACAACTAGCATTAAGAATCAAAAAAGCGGCGCATTGACAAACAACGTGCAAAAACACGATAACGGCCAATCATGTATCAGTTGGTTGCCGTCGTGTGTTCGATTAACGTCTTTGACAATGGCGATTTTTTCAATTCAGAGCGCGTCGACATGGTAATACTTTATGGTGTGGCTGATGGAAACGTTAGGTTGGCCCGCGAATTTTTTACATCAGTGGTACAACATTTACGAGATCATGATATCTTCAAGCTTCAAGCTCATGATTGAACGCCTTAACTTTTTAAATTGCATTCTCATTACGGATCGTAATGCTGTTTTTAACAGCCACGACACTCACATTTGGTACGATGAATATCCACACGGTCGTCAAGAAGTACGATGTCAACGAGGTTTTCCATAAATGTGTGGCGGTATCGTAAATGATAACAGCAAAACGTCGGTTTTACATTTTATTGAAAGTGAAAGTGTTTACATCGTTTTTAAAAGAACGTTTTTCCATCTATTTTTTAAAATGTGGATCAATGGCATCGCATCGAGGGTGGTTCATGGGGGTTTTGCCTCATTGGACTTTAATTTATTTTTCTGTATTTCTACATTACTACGGTACGTGATGCCGTGGTTACAGTTATTGCATATATTTCGAAATCACCCTGTATGTAAGCATAGTATATATCAACTAAAATATCTGCAGTAAAATTAATTTAAATCAATGATATAAGAAAGTTAAATGTTCTTTTAAAAGCGACTGAATGTGGAATAAAAATATAAAATTTTTCATTTTTTGCAAAAAAGAGAAGAGGATGGTTAACTGACATATTAGTAGTGAGAGTAACGGTTCGAAAAATATTACAATTTCCGGTAGTTCTGCTGTTTATACTTGGAATTCCAGAAGTTAGTTTTGTGAGAAGGTTCGCATTATCAATTCTACAAAGACCCACTATGTTCCTACAAGCTTTCAAAGATTTCATCCCAAGGAGGTTTATCAGTTATCACCCACCCATATTCACCTTGTTGATAATAATGGTAATCTTTAAATTCAGTTGTTCGAAGGAACTTCCTTTGAACTTGTGGGTCTTATAAGTATATGGGGTATCAAATAATAAATCCCCACATTTGTATACATTTATTGGATATGTGCTGATAATTGTTAATTATTCTTAAATGAAAGTTTTGAATTAAAAATTACACCAAGGTCTTTTATTTCGTTAGCCGATAAGAGAATTACGAATACTGTAGTCAAATTTGATAGAAGAATTTTTATTATAAAAAGTCACTTATTTAAATTTAGACTTAAAAAATTTGATTCACACCGATGAAAAACATTATTTAAATTTGTTTGTGATTCTTGGCAATCTTTTACAGACATAATTGTTTTAAAAGTTCTGAGATCATCGGCATAAAAAGAAATTTCGAAAATTTAAAGCAATGATTTAAGTCATTTATAAACACAAGAAATAGAATTGGGCCACAATGGGAACCCTGTGGTACACCAGATGTAACTTTAAACGGATCGGAAAGATTGTTGCTAATTTGAACTTGTTGCCAACTGTCTGTTAGAAATGAAGTTCACCAGTCAATTGTGGACTGTCTAAAACCAAGTTTATGCAGTTTCAAAATCAGTACATTGTGGTCTACTCGATCAAGAGAAAAATTGATTGTCCTGTTAACCACAGAAAGGGTATTATATTATGTGGTTGTTGAAGAATTATTTGACATATTATACGAGACCTAGGTATCAATTGGCTATGGAGGCTGTGATAGGATGAAAAAGGAAGTACAACAACGTTACAAGAACATTCCTACACAAGACATTCAAATATTTTTAAATCTACGCGAGTTATGTTTGAAAAAGCGGAAAAGTGAGAAAAAGGGCTTGGTAGTTGAGCAAATGGTTTTTTCACATTTTGATTCAAGGGGCTAAGTGCATTTGATTGATTTTCAATTTCAAGCGGATGGAGAATTTAAATTTATTCTAGTTTATCAAGATCATCTAACTAAATTTGTAATTCTTCGATCTCTTAAAACTAAGCAAGCATCAGAAGTTGTAGAACAACTTCTTGACTTATTTTTGTTATTCGGTGCCCCATCCATATTACAATCTAACAACGGACTAGAGTTTGCAAACAGAATAATAGTCAGTCGCAAGATAGTGTAGAGCGCGCAAACTAGAACATTGAAAAAATATTAAATAATTGGCGACGTAATAACTGAAGGTAAAGGATTGGGTTTTGTGCAGTTTATGAAAAACAGAGCTCAGCAGGGATTAAAAGAAGTCCTTATGAGGCAATGTTTGGACAACCAGCAAAAGTGGGACTTTAATACTGAAGATGATTTAGAAAGCATGTTGAACGAAGATAATGTGGAAAACGACACCTCAGTTCAAAGCAGTGATTTGCAAAATCATCAAGAGCAAACGTTGCCTGAAAATTTTACGTTAGAACAATCGTTGGAAGCGAATATTTTGCTGGTAGAAGAATTAAACAAAGATAATATGCAGAACGAAACTTCAATTCAAAGCAGTGATTTGCATAATAATCAAGACCAAACGTTGCTTGAAAATTTTAGAATTATTACAGAAGATAAGTAAATCAAAGGAGCAAGCATCTAAAATATATGAAGTGCGCTTAAATTTTTCTTACACTGACGTTTGTAAACTTTGTTTGCGGTAAAATCAAATTAGAAGTAACAGAAAAGAAACTAAAGAAAATTTAGAGAACCAAGCCAAGCGAATGAAAACCATTTCTGATGCTTCTCATCCACCAGCAGAAGAGGGAATGTCTATTCGTATAAAGCTGTCTGAAGTTGACAGAGATCCATGTGATTCGCAGTCAATAATAGGCTGTATTATGAAAAAAACAGATGATGTTTTTTTTCAAGTGGGTACAAGAAATATAATTCTAAAAAGCTTGAACGCAAGATCGCAATTTAGCGTTTGTTCGAAAAAAATATTTAATTTTGTAGACATTCCAAGGTAGGAGTTACCCCTTAGGACTGTGGCCACAGAACAATCGGTAGGATCGGGCCAAGGGTTTACAAAATGTCACTATAAAACAAAATGTAGATCCAATAGATGTACAATTGTACATGTTACAAAAAAAAGGTGTGCAATTCCAAATGCCACCAAAATTTTTTGGTGTTTTGAATTGTTTTTCTTTTTATGTATATTTTGTTTTTTATTTTTTATTAAAATTGTTTGCTTTGTATTTATAAAACATTATTTAAACTGCAGTTGTATTTAGAAAAGTAGTACAAGTAACATTTTACTGATTTTGATATAAATATGAAACAAAAATGGCACCTTAACAAATTTTATTTTATGCAAAATACTTGTCCTAATTTGTTACATATAGGAACATAAAGTTAAAGTGGTACAAGCAACAAGAATATAAAAAGACAAGTTTGAAAAAATAACTAAATACAGGGTTATTCAGCTAAGATGACCCATTTATGTTTTTAAAATAGGCAACCCAAAATACCGATTCCACCTGAACCTGGATTACAAAAAATGTTTCAAAATTAAATTGTATCAAAGTTTGCTAAGTGTATAGAAACGTCAGTCAACATCAGTGTCAAAAAAACGCCTATGCATTCAATAACGAGAAAACCGACAAGATCCTATTTATGGACACGTTATGGAGAATGACACAAAAACGCTAGGCGTACAGCACAATTGTATGCCGGAAGATACCCTGACCGTGTGGCCCCAACACCCAAAACTTTCAAGAGGCTAGAAAATTCGTTGCGTAAGAAAGTGGCCTGCTAACAAGAGAAAAGGGAACCAGACAACCAGACTGCCACCAGCTTGGAAAATGAAGTATAACTTCTTCCACAAGTTAATGAGAGTTATGGGACATGGGAGTTATGGGACAAACTGCTATTGCTAGACAAATAAATAAATTTCATCCTCACCGCTCTAACCATCTGCACCTGGAGCATGCACTTCGACCCACAAATCAACCACAAAGATTGGTCGGTTTTCTCGTTATTATCATAAGAATGCCTAGGCATTTTTCTGACACTGACGTTTCTATACATTTAACAAACTTTGATACAATTTAATTTTGAAACATTTTTTGTAATCCAGGTTCAGGCGGAATCGGTATTTTGGGTTGTTTATTTTAAAAACATAAATGGGTCATCTTAGCTGAATAACTCTGTATATGTTTTTTTCGAAATCAAAAGATCTAACTCAACCGATATAAATAATTGAGTATAAAAAATCTACATTGGTTCATTACAGGACAATATTTTATTGTCGTCTTCGTTATCGATTTCGACATGTAACCCTTTTTTTTTTATTGATTTATTATCATCTGCAAACTTTAAATAAAAAAAAAACTAGATCAATGTGGGGTACTTGTGGGAGTAATTCCTGGAAGTTTTTGCATTTAGCCTATTTTATTTGTACGGGTTTAGAGAACAACATAGAAAGTTAAACTTTGAATGATATTTCTATTTCTTCACGACCATCAGTGAATATACTGTGCAGCACTTAACTCATTTTTAATAAAAATGTCATTTGTATTACTTTTTCTCTGAGCTCCTTAATTATGATATTTAGTTCTTTTTATTGAAGCTTTGATTAACAAACTGCAGTAAAAGCATATCTGGCCTAGTGAATTATTAAGTATACGTTTACTACTAAAAGTATCCATTTCCATGCGCAGTGAATATTTTGGCTAAAACTGTACGTCAATGTAGTTTCACATTGACTAGTCAGTGTAGGTATACATTCGCTGAAATGTACGCGTTGTCTGTAACATATATGTAAGTTAGTTTTTGAAATACAACTCCCTATACGGTTTTACATGTCCCACTTCACCACTTCTTAGGTTTCACAAGTATATTTTATTTGGAAGTTCCTATTAAACTTAATAAATTGTTCCTTTTTTCTTCTCAATACACAAAAATAATAATATTTTTAAGGCCTATTTTGCAATATTTTATTAATAATTTATAAAATGTAGCGTTCTGTTGGAGTATCAATAAAATTGAATTTCTGTCTACAATTAAGAAAGTTTATTAAAAAAAGTTCTGAAGTATTAGCTTTCAAAACGTCAAATTTCAGTTAATTCAAAAAGAATACTACAGAAAGAGTACTTTTTTATTGAATAATCAATTTGAAGTGTAGAATACATATACTTATAAATATACTGTCGCAGAAATTTAACAAGGTTAATTTACTAAAACGTATCTAAGTATATAATATGTATTTTGTTAAAAAAATTAATTGAAAACAAAAACTTTCTCGAAGTATGTGATATCTTCTTTTTACAAAAAGAAGCAACTTTTGGAGATACCAAAAACAGAAGAAATTTCGAAAATACCGACAGAACATTCACAACATTTTTGAGTTACTTGTTGTAGATAAAGTGGTGACACTGGAACTATGTACATTTTTAACAACGCCGTGCGTAATACTATCAGTTTTGACATTGTGTAATGGGTGATATGTACTTGACTGATTTTTACGCCAATATCTTCCGTAATGGACTCCGCACAACACACAACAAAAAGCACCACAACTTGCCACGCCAAAACACATTCCACGTTTCGCCCCAAACAAATCGGTCCGATAATAAAGTCGCAGTGTATTTATGCTATCTGCATGCTGCACTGCCCATAAATAACGAACCGACGAAAGAACAAGCTAATATGTCTCGTTCAAATCGACTAGTTTCTTAAGTTTAAAATCATGTTCTTCGAAGGATTCTATTAATTTCGTCGAGTCGTTTTATTGCGGTTTATTCGCGTCGCTTTTGCCACGATTAATCAATGTTAAATTATTTTCAATAATGATAAACATTAGCGGTGGTAATGGACCACCAGTACGCCACCAGAAATAATGACAAATATAAGTGGAAAATTGACTAAATCAGCGTTATCTGCATTTAGTGATCTTCAACGGACATCTCAATCAAAGAGGATGACAAGCAAGGATTAGGTACGACCATGAGGCAGGGGTGTCCAAAGCGGTCTCTAACGGCGAACAAAAATTGCGAAAATTCCCATGGGCGACCTAACCCAAAAATACGTCGACTCTCTCTCGCTTCCTTTTTTTTCGTTGTAATTTTCGTTACCGTTTTGTTGTCTTTTTCACTTCCGTTTTCTGCCGAGACGATACGATTTTGTACACGCCTGTCACGTTTTTCCCATGGCTGATGAGCGAGAATTCGACCAACAATGGGCATGGTAAAGTGTATAATAACCACGTTCATAGATGTCACTGTAATCGTTGACAAACTGTTCGGCGATTTGTGCTTATTCATGCCAACAAATTCATTCCTGTTTGTTTTTAATCCAATTATTGTGGCCAGACTTCGACAGCCAATTTCCATTCACAGGTGAGTTCTATTATGATTAAAAGTTTTTTAGTTGTTGGTGCCATGTTGGTTTTGTTTATTTTGGGTTCTTTTTTGGTGAGATGTCGATGGACAGGACGAGAAATAAATAAACATGCAATTAAAACGGTTATGAGTTCGATTAAACTTTGATGATTATTAATAAACCAATAAAAAATTACATATGAAGAGTGAAATGATTTTTTAAACTGGGAGCTCTAAGTTTAGTTTCGGCGGCAGAGTGGGTTGTAATTTATTTTTTTTTATTTCTATATTAAGTCCGGGTAACACGAATTTAATTTACTTCAACTTGAACGTACCTACTAAAAACACAGTAGCTCTTTATTATAAACAAGCGAGACAACATATTTTTGATATTCGGTTATTCATTATAATTTAAATTTAATTATAAATCCAGAGTTTTTGTTCTATTTTATACATATAATGTTGTAATGGAGAATAATATCGCATTGCTGAAAGTTGTGGCAAATTTCTTCGACATACGCTGTTTTTACTGTATCTCATTTCCGACAAAAAATGTCTCCAAATTATATATTCACGTAAATAAATACTCCTAATAAATTTAAATAAAAAGTAAATTATTAAAAACAACAATATAGGTGGCATATACAATAATATCTATCATTACAAATATCTGTATTAGGTCCTGTTTTAGATTATTGTTAGTAAAATTCATCTTAAAAATTTGGAATTTAAATGTCATTAAGTAACCACTTTTTTACAGCTCATAAATAATAATTGGACATTCCATATTATATAAGTACAGATTAATTCACTAAGCGAACGTTTCGCGATATATCCTCTTCTAATAAAAACAGAAAAAAGTCAAATTAAAATGTGACGGCTCCCTTAGTAGCTTATAATACAATTTTCAACTTGTGTTTTATTCTTAATATACAGGTATTCAAAAAATGGCGCACCAACTCGACGGTTCACAAGTCCAAGCTCGAAAAAATCATTAAAAAATTCCTTACGTCAATTTACGTTCACATACAAAATCACAATTTCGATTTAGATAGACGAAAATACGTGAAAAATTAGCCACTGTTGTCAGATCCATCCTAAACAATTTTTAAGGTTCTTGTTATATTATAACATGAAGTAAACAATGGATAAAGACAAGATTCTTCCAAAATTATTTTGAATAATGAAAATCCGATCGATTTTAGGTACCCAATATAAAGTATGAATTAAGATATGGTAAAATTTCGAAAACAAAAATTAGAATTTTGAATCTTCTACATTTGGACAAACGCATTTTTTAATTTATTTTTTCTCTGCTCCATTAATGGTCCTAAACAACGTGCCACAAGGTTGATGCGCAATTTTTTAACACCCTGTATTTAACGTAATTTTTTAAATGTTGTCCTACATCCTATACCTATATTCTTACATATTTTGATTAACATGATCCCAGGTTTTATGACCATTGTTTATTTTTTAAATTCCAGTGCGACGTTTATGTTATTCTCATTATCTTGAAATTTTTTAGCAACGAAAGGGCTTACATTAAAACCGAATTCGATCACATATTGTAAAAGGATACATGCGACGAATTGCTGCTTTTAAGTTTATTCGATGTTTTATGACTTCTAGAGTACGAAAAAGTAGGTCTATCGTTGCTATCTGTCGTCTGTGTCAATTTTTATTAGA